AATTCTTAAGTTACTCTTGTGTTGACAAAAACACGCAAAAACACGAGAAAAATGTTTGATTTTACGTTTTAAAATAACAAGATTAAAAAAAAAAATTTGCGCTTTTTAATAAAAATTAACTCAAAATATTTCTTGAGAACAGAAAACCGCTCAATAAGCAATTGACACATGTATATATTTGTATATAAGCTTTTGAATTTGACGTACGTTGTGCTTGTAGTACTTGTTCTTGCACCAGTTGGCGTTGACGTAAGAAGGCATAGCGTCGTAAATAGTTGTTGCTTTCAACATTATTATCTCACTGCCGGTTTGTTGGTTGATACTTTTTTAATAAGTGCGTTCGTTTCTTTTCTGATCAGTGGCTATGTTTCAACTTATTGATAGAGCGCGTTTTGTGCATGCTTGGCTGAATTGAATATCGTCGTTCAGTATCCTCATGGACTGAGATCCTGATGCAAACTTGGATCATATCCCATGCTTCCATCGTACGCTTGCTGCGGATCGTACCCTGAGCTCAGTGAATAGCCCATTGAATCTTGTGTTGGAGCTGGAGACATCATTGGAGTAGCTAGTTCCATAAAATGTATCTTCCATTAACGAAAAAGTCGAATGATTGTTATATATTTGGCAAATGACAAATACCTGCACCACTCGGTGGCCCACCCATTGAATATGGTGATGCACCTGCTGCCTTTTTTGCAGCATATAAATTCGCTTCTTCCTGAGCTTTGCCAATATTTTTTTTGTAGCGAATTCGCTTGTTACCAAACCAATTTGATACTTGCGAAACCTAATGTAAAATTATTGACAACATGAGTATTCAACAGAGATGCTAAGTACTGTACAAAGTGAAACAATCATAAATGAAAATGAATGTTTGTTAGTATTCTGAACAACTCAATCCAATACAATTGAAGAAAATAAGCACAGTGTTCAAAAAAATTGGGTAGTTCCGTGTGAAAATGTGTTTGCTTCGATGTCTTTTATTTCAAATTACGGTGGGATGTGCACATTTCCTTAATTTTCCTTTTTAACTCCACAAAAGAATATATACATTATAGAATGGAGACCAAATCGTTACAAAACGATCGACTTTTCCGCTGCTGTGTTTATTTCGTTTAATCGATAGATTGAAAAAGAGTTGAGATTATTAATTAGTTTTAACTAAATTTCTACGAAAGCTATTTTATAACTTAAAGGAAGAAGAAAAAAATGGCACATACCCACGCTTCGTTCATTTGTGATTTGGAAAAATTATTCATTCATCCGGTAGTATAACACATGACACAAATACTTACATATGTATATATATGTAATGTAAATTTTTTTTTACACGATCACACAATCTTTTTTAGAAGATGTTTTAATTAAATTTTAAATGTGAATGGCAAAAATGAAATTCAAGGTTTATATGATTCTTTTTATTGAAACACTGTGTAAAAACGAAAGTCTGATATCAAATGATATCAAACACATATGTAATAAACCAGTTTTGTGCTAAAATTAGTGGCGCACATACAAAATGCCTTCCGTATGGCTTGTATATTCTTTGCAATTGGACGAATTGGACGTAATACAAATGCGGAAAATTGATTCAATCAAAAAGATCCCAAGAAACATTCATTAAAAGCAATTTAGTCATTTTTAACGTTAAAGTAGAGAAGTGATCCTGCCAAATACAGAAGTGATCCTGTCACAAACAAGATGCCACTTGTACTACGACCGCCAAAAGTAAAGAATTTCATTGCAATGCCCGTTCATGACTTCGATCTCAAGCACATTCGCATCGACGTCACGCATTTCTTTAAAATTGCTCGTAATTTAGGCGCTTTGAATCATGCGATAGGAAAAAGTGGCCGAAAAGTGTACATCGAAAAAGAAACTTACAACAAAAATCCGGCACAGTGGTGGAAACACGTGTTCAACATGAAGAAAATCAACAAAATCGGCGACAGAAAAATGAAATTCGATTGCTCGATTGTCATCGATAGTGTTTCCGTTTCGCTCATGTACATCAAATCGAACCGTACGCTAGATGCGAAGGATTTGAAGACAATTGAGCAGATGTACCGTGATGAACTATTCGTGTATCAGTTTGGAATCGACCCTGGAGTTCGTACATTGAACGCAACCGTTCGTCGCACCGTTGCAATTGCAAATGAGTATTCATTTTCAGATAAAATAATGTACAAATTACTAATTGCTGTGGCATTTCATTGCTTTTTCATTTCAGGAAAACATCACGATTGCTGGTCCAACAATCATTGGAGGGCGAAACGATCAAAACGTAGGCAGAAGGAAGAACGATGGCAGAGGACATTCAAGGAGCAACAGCAACGCGACCTTAGGTCATATCCAGTGGTCCCATCGCCAAAGTCAAAGAATGCATGGAAGAGCTACATATGTCATCGGTTGACTATGATGGCACTGGAAATTGCTGTGTTCGGAACGCGCAAGTACGCTCGCCTTAGTTTTGACAAATACGTGGCGAAAAAATTGCCGCATCGTTAACGAACAAAAAGCCATCAATGATTTACTTGGGCGCAGCACAAATGGCACCAAACTCACCGATTGGAATCAAAAGACGATTGCATGCCCCGGCACAAGAAAATTGTTGGCTTCAAGAAATTGAGCAATTGCATCGTTCGTTTCGTCGATGAGTACTTCACATCGCAGACATGCGCAAAATGCTTTGGACGTTTCGATCCACGAACCAAACGAAATCGGTTCAAAGTTTGGCGACAGTGCTGGCTGAATGGGTATGATAGTCAAATAATGCCAAACAAAATCGTGACCACATTAAGTAGCCGAAAACTGAAGAAAGCACGCAAAGAGGAGAAGGACGAACGAATGCAACAGAATGTCAACAACAATCAGCCACGTAACGCAGCCAATCCGACTCGACCATCTAAAACACGTTTGGTGTCAAAACTTTGCAAATACTATAAATGTCATTCAAATGACGCTGGTGACTTGGAGTAGTATGCGTCACACATAGATCAGAACGTAACCAATTGGCATCGTGACGTAGTGGCTGCAAAGGGCATTCTATACAAAGGTAAAATGATGAAATCGAAATGATTCTAACTATTTTGATTGCAGATTTTTTTGTGATTTCTGTTTTAGGTCGTTGTGAGGTGTTCGAATACCGCATTCACCCGAATCTATCGAGACCGGTTCAGCAAAACGAACAGAACATCGACAGTGATTACGAGCACATCTCCGAAGATGAGGATGATGAATAGATTGCAGCAACCACTAGCAGTAGCACCAACTCCATATCACTTAAGAATAGATTTTAAAAATAATACTTGTACTAACGATTTGTTAGCCAACTGGCCTTGATTAATTTGCGGGCCTGAGGGGACAGCCTTCTGTTGTTCACGGGAGTACGTACATTTGGTTGCGTAGATAGGAACAAATGAAATGACTTGGTTTTCAATTGAAAAAAAGAGCATTGATTTCATTCTATTTTCTTTCCATTCATTTCATGCACAATTGGACTACGCCCGAATTTCACTCATTTTCGACGGAAAAAATGATTGTATCTATGGTCAAACGTAACCCCACATTCAACCCTAAACATATACCCGGGTTAGGATATAATTCATTTAATAATTGTTACTTGGGATTTAAAGTGATATGATGCGTTTTAAGTATGAACATTTTTCTAAAAATATTGATGATATTCACTTACCGTAATACCACATTTGCGTGCCAGATCTTCTTTGGCTTCTTCGGAAGGATATGGATTGCTTAAGTGACTGTAGAAATACTCGTTGAGAATTTCAGATGCTTGTTTGCTGAAGTTACGCCGTTTTCGTCGGGCATCCAAAAATCGTGAGCGTAGTATCATGACGGCTTCACAAGTTGATTGTTTGAGCTGCATTTGAATGGAACCGAATTTCTTGTGGATGATCTGCACCATACGCTCGATTTCTTTCGGAGTAATTGGTCTAATATTGTGAATTTGATATAATATGAAAATAGTTATAATCCTTGCACTAACAGGAGCAAAAACTCTAAAATAAGTATCTATTGTAACCATACCTGGTACGACTTTGTTCACGAAGTAAATTCATAACATGGGTAGTAAACTCATTGCACGCTTGCTCGTACTTTTCCAATTCCTGATGATAGATCAGTCGAATTTGTGCCAATTTAGCACGATAATCGGAGTGCTCGATAGCATTATCAGCACCATCCAATGACAAGGATGATCCTTGACTCGCTGCTGCTGCTGAAGCGGCAGCATTTGCACCACCACCCTTTTCAGGCCCAGCTACTCCCTCGGCGATCAACATATTGTCCAAACGCAGAATCTGTGGATCAGGTGGCTCCTCTTCTTGTGTATTGCGGAGCGACAATACTGAAAAATCGTTTTACATTACGATTAAAATTATTTTCAAATGGAAATACTTCGATTGTAGCAATGTTTAGACTGATGCAGTCCTGAATCTTTTCCAAAACAAATGTAAAATTACCAGCTTTATCTTTCACTTCACATAGCACAACAAATAGAGCCTGCTTCATTCGGTGACAGTTCAAAGTATGCTTCCGAGCCTGCGCTTCGTCCAATGATTGCTCGGTTATGTTCATGATTTGTTGCAGAATTTCACCAATGTCTTGCTTACGGCCATGATTTTCATTCTCACCACCTTGTGATCCATCATTTGGATTTGGCATTCCGTAGTTTTGCGGTGCCATCATGCCGGCATGAGCCATCATACGATTCGGGTCTTCCATTTTGAAACCTTGTTCTACGTTTATGTTCGGTAGAGATTAGTGAATTTTCTTCTTTGGTTCGACAATAAAACAATAGAAAAAAATATAGAGTGTTAAAGGTGCGATACAAAATCCAAAAGAAAACAATGATGATTATGAACACAAAGGTCAACACCGGACAAAATTTAATATTGTACTGAATAAGTGGAAAAAATATCAACAAGAAAAACGACAAAAATGTAATATCTAAACGTCATGTCATGGGGTTCTGTTATTGTGTTTTCCTTCATTTCATATATTCTTCAAACACATTTTGGACGTGTCCAATTTTTTCAATGTTAAAAAAATGGCTAAAAAGATTATTTTAATTTTTTCCCAGTCAAATATACACATATTTCACAGGCCCAGTCAAAAAGAAATTAAATGTTTCCAAATATGTCGAAAATGATGTCGAAAGCCGAACATCCGCTTTTACCCTAGCTACCTATATCAAGATTGTTCAACTCAATACAGTTTTCTATATGTATGTGGACATAACTAAACTGACAACCCATCATCTGTCAATCAAAACATGAATATGGACAATATGTGAATGGTGCGTTTCGCACATAACGAAAACAATGCTTTGTGCATCAGATTTGTGAATTTTTTCAATAGAGATGAACCAAATCACTTTGAAAATAAGAGACAAGTTTTCTGGAGTTGATTTTCAAAATGGAGACTTCATACGCTATATGTACAAATTGTACCTGCAATGTATGGTTGGAAAAAACTCTTTGTTGTTGAAAAAACACACACTTTTAACAGCAGCGCTCGCGGATTAGAATAAAGAAAAATGTCTACTTCACATTTATTATCAAATTATACGAAACAGTCTTCTTTTTCGTATACACACTGTATTTGATTTGCACAATTTATCGAGAATCCGTTTGTCCAAAATACTTTTAAGCAATTTTCAGGAATCTGTAAAAAATTAGTTAAACCAACAAACGATACACTCAACACCGAGTAAACGTACAACAATATTTTTTTCGTTCGCCGTAGGTAAATGGCGGCTGTCTTCTATTGCTTGTATCCAGAAAAAAATGTCTACAAGTTTTGGTTTCTTGTTGTTCTTTCGTTTTCCCTTTTGTTCTCTTTCGGGAGACGAACGCGAAGTCGATGCTTCGCTTTGATTTTGTGAAAACGCTATGGCATGATGCGCATCACATCACTGTTGTTGTCTCTTTCAAGCACACACACGAAGTGAGATTGCAAAGCGTGACAAATAGTTGTAACTTGGCGTTGCCGCATCAATGGGTGCGCGTAGCGTGTAACGTAAGCTTTTCGCTTTATGTGTTTGTTTTATACTAATGAACTCATGAGTGCATGTCGAACGACGAGAGAGAGTTCATCAATGTGAGGATATGCTGTGCATAAAACGTCGTTCAATCGAAGAACATGCGCATCTTGAACATTATGAAGCCAAAGACTTTTCACTCGAAACGTTCATTTCAATAGTCTTTTCTTGGTTTTTTATTTTTTTCATTTTACAATACAGAACTAAAAGGAAAGTTGGTTGAATATGCTGTCACTCTATTGCAAATTCTGTGAAACCAAATTTTCATGTTGGTTATATTATTAAATTTAGATGCCATCTTATATATACAGAAAAAATGAGAATTAGAAATGACATCAATACTTTCATCACTAGGGATGACCGAAATTGTCAATCTGACAACACAGTTACAGTTAAAATTTAGAAAATAGCTTCATAGGAAAAAAATATTTTTAAACTGATTGAGAACCCATTATTTATGGGTGAGATTTGAGAATAGAGTATGTTTTTTATTTGATTTATTTTTTTGAAAAGGCGAATATGTTTGTGATGGTTCTTTTGAATGCCTAAGGTCGTCGCGGTTTTCCAGGGTTTCCGAAGAACTGATTAAAGATAACAGCTTGGTATCTTTGGCAAAGTTGTGGAGCTAGAAGTGCTCTATGACTTTGCCGAAGATAGTTGTCTCTTATTTCATTCCATTTCATCATCAAAGAGACCAAGTCGCACGGAAACCGTAGAAAACCGCGATGACCCGCCAAAAATGAACATACTCGCCTTTTAACCATTTTTAAGTCGAATGAAACTTACTCTTCTCTTTCATAACATAGTCAGTGAAACCTACACTACTATCCTAAATTGTGAACAATTCATGCAATTTTTGAGTGAGATAAAATCTAGAGGCTCTTTAAATTATTTTTATTTTTAAATGGCTCCACCGAAATATTGGAAACAATGGAAATTAACAGGTGTCTTTGGACTGGAGCAACTGTACAGGAATTCGTCGCTATGTAATTGAGTTTGCAACGTTGGTTCGCTGGCGCTTCGATGAATTTTCGGTAGAGTTCTTAGCATTGTTTCTAGCATATTTAAAATCAGACGGAATAGTGGCCGTTCGTCACGATTTAGTTTCATACAGTCTTCTGCCAAACGTTTCAGAGCTTGAGGACAGTCTGAACGAACCTTCGATAAATCCGGTCGTAAAACGCCTCGTCCAACTTTAAGTAGAATCTCATCTTTGTTATTTATGTGATTGTATGGCAGTTGAAGCGTTAGCAATTCATACATTACAATCCCAAAAGCATACACATCGCTCTGAAATGAGTACGGATTGGTTTCCCTCATACGTATCACCTCTGGTGCCATCCTGAAAAAATGGAATTATACAACGAATTCTACATTCTTCTGATTCCATTTATATTATGTCAGTTTACAATTTTACTTACCAAATTAGGCTTCCCGTTGGATACTCGGATTGCTGTTCGCCAGACCATCGCGCTTTGGCCGTAGCTAGGCCAAAATCGCCAATTTTTACTGACAAATCTTCATGCAAGAAAATATTGTAGGATTTAAGGTCACGATGTATAATATTCTTTGCATGTAAATAGTCCATTCCTTGAGCAACTTGTCGTGCAATGTCAATCAAGGTATTGAGTTCAAATCGAGTCTCATTCACATGAATATGCTTAAATAGGGTACTTCCGTCACACCATTGAGTAACTATTGCTAATGAAGGCTTGCTCACGCAACCCATGAACAATAAAATGTTACAGTGGCGTGTTTTTTTCAACATAGCAACTTCATTTTTGAATGCTTGTAAGTGAGCCGGGCTGGGTGTTTTCACTTTTAAGATTTTCACAGCAACAGGCCCATGCCAATGTGCTCGGTACACCGTCCCAAATGATCCAGACCCTATCCGGGGTCCCATTAAAATTTCTTCGGCCTGAATATTCTACGAAATGAATAAAAAGCATACAGAATGTTTCAAAGATATTTAAGAACAATTTCATTATCATTCCTACCCAATTCTCATCAGTCGGTTTTTGTTCACGCGGAGACAGCAAATTCTTGTTACTTTCGTCAGCTGACCTAGCACGCTGACGCTTAACATGCTTCAATGTGTTTGTAGGTGATGCTTGTGTTGAATGTGAATGTTCTTGACTTGATTGAGTCTGGAAAATATGGACGTTCAAAAAAAATTGTTGATGTCAAGTATATGCCTAAATTTTTAAGTATTTAACTCACGAAATCTACTGGTCCTCTTGCCAGTTGTAGAAGTCTCGATTGATCAGCAGTCAATTTTACACTGTTTATACACACATTAGGGGCTGAGTTGGATCGATCTTGTTGATTCAGTGATCGAGGATGCCTATAAATGGGAGAAGGCGTAAACAAAGCTTGAAACATTCAAATGCTCACACATCGAAATTAGTTTAGTATCATTTTTATACCTTTCTTGATAACCTAATCCTAAACCATTCGCATTTGGTATACCACAGTCAGGATTTTGAGCTAATAAAAGTTGATAATAACTATCCATGTGTATTTGATGACACAACCGTGGCACTTTGTCGGCACATCGTTGGTGGAAGCGATAATTACACTGCGTACAGTAAAATCCAGTGAATAATAGGCGCCGACAACATTCGCAGAATGCTAGCGAAAAGAACGTTTTCCGCACAAACTATGGAATTAAGAAAAGATGTCAATGCGCTTGCTCACTGGACGTATTTCTATTCACGGTGAATGTTCTTTTTTTTTGAGAAACCATACCTGATGGGAAATGTGTGTCATAATTGGAAACTTATCGGTAACTTTGACATAAACTTCTTCAGCCCGGATCAAGCTTATGTCTGTGTCCCAGTGTATTGGCTTATCTCGACTGAGTGTTGTTACCTCACACATTTCACAAGTTAGATTACGCCGTTTAAGAGCTTTACTCAATGCGTCTCTCAGCCGAAGACCTGGAATCACTTGAACCGATGTGCGCTGCTGATTTGGTAAGTGGGCACGCAGAAATATTTTCGGTTGTCTACTCAATGTTTCCACATTATTCCGAACCTAAATAATGGAATTGAATGAAAAAAAAAAAATTATAATTCAGAGGCTATTTTACTGATATATTATTTACGAAGCCCTGATTTCTAACATACATTTCCGAAAATATGATGAATATAACAGCGTGGAAAAATGCGATAAACATTATTTGAGAGCAAAAGTCTGATATAAAAATTACATCACATTTGCTCTCACAAAATTTTCATCTCTGTTCTTTTTCTCGGAGAAAACTATATTGGTTTTGCTTGGAAACTATTTTTCGTACAGAATAAATTTATATATCATTATATCAACCTATTGTAATAATATTATTATTGTGTGAATACCAAAAAATCTTCGGAATAATTTCAAAGAATTTGTATGCATGATTGGGGTTGAAAGTAAAGGTCATCAAACTTGACAGTACTCATGATTCCGTCATTGAATTCATGGTTGCTGTCACCTCTTCGTCTCAATAAGACGTATAATCGATTGATTCTTCTTTCTTCTGTAATTCAAAGCAAAAACTATGCAAAATGTCTTAATTTTTTGTTGTTATGCATAATAAGATTTTGTTTACACCGTAGTCTACTTCCATATTTTTGAGCATGTGTGCGTGTGTATGGTTTCGTCTGCCGAATAGCAAGTACGCAATCGATTTTTTGAAACCTTATCAATTCGGGACTTTGAATCCAGCGCAGAAACAAAGTGCATTCATTCTTCACGCATTTTCTTCGTACAAATAATAATAATAGTAATACTATTTTACTTCCCATTATGTGAACGTTTTGGCCATGTTTTTATTATGTGGCCTGCAAATCTACATAACAAAATGTTTGAAGCGCAATAATCATTTGATTCATTTTGTGTATTTATTTCGTTTATTATGACAATATAAGTGTTTTATAATTAAATATTTACCGATATACCGATGTATATCAAACAGGACAGTTTCCATATTTTATTGAATGATTAGGGTATGAAACTATGAGGAACATACCTCTGGGTTCTCTTCTGGTGGTTCAGGCGATTCATTTTGCTGTATCTTTTCAGTGAGCTCAAGTTTCTTCTCTTCGAGTTCATGAAGTCGTGAAGTTAACTCGTGATATTCTGTAATGTACATTGGTGGTGGGTCTTGTCTGTTGGCAAATTTTGCATTTAATGCATCTATATTACGACTGGTAACAATAATCACAGATTCTATGTTCCGCAGTTCTTCAGCTAGCGGATCCATTAAATCGTCGGTGTCATCGGATGGTGATGACATTTTTTCACGACTATACATAAACGATTTGAATTTTCATCAAGTTTTCTGATTCACTTCATCGAAATTTTGTAACTATAAGTTTTTTAGTTATTTCACACTTTTCAATAAATATTTCGAATTCTGACCTCGACAGTAAATCGGCTTCCAAATCGAATGAGTGATTTCTTATTTTCAGATAACTTTTTACTACATTATACAAAATCTTTTTGTATGAAAGTGTGCGATTTTCTTTGGGTACTTTTTGCTGTTGGCTCTCGTTGTTGGACGTTCTTTTCCTTATTCTTACATTCTCGTTCACTTGTCGTTATGTGTCCAACATTTTACATGTATTGGTGCTCATATTCATATAATATGGATTGAACTTGAAATGTGTTAGTAAGTAAGACAGATAAAAACACGGCCATTACTGTCGATATCTTGAAGACTTTATGTAAAAATTAAATATCCAAAATGTTTGTTTGAAGTTAAATAATGCTGAAGATATTTCTTTCAATCTTTTATTTTACCTATTTGTCACCCATAAAAGCTGGACAAAATGTTTCAAATATCTGATGATAATGTGAATAATCCTTTAGTCTGTTGATAGGCCTTTTGAAGAGGTCCTATCAATCGATGCGGTTTTATTAGACGCCATTTTCTGTCTCAGTGAAGGCAATTGTTGAAAAAAGCTGTACACGAAATAGCGTTTGAAATCATTTGGGTTTTCAAATCATTTTTTTTTTGGTTTTACTCGTTGGTCATTTTTTAAAGCAAATACTCGAAATTTTGAGATAAATCAGCAACCGTGTGCTGAAGAAAAGGAACAAATAATAAGAATTTGATACTATAAAGAGATTGTCCAAATGGAGCATTCAGGTGAGCGTATGCGAAATCCGAAAAGAAGATATCAGCTGAAATCTACATTTTGCAAATGCTCTTATTCGAATCTCTTTTGAACTCTACAAAAAGTCTATTTAATAATTAAATAAAAAAAATAATTGTGATAATGAACACTTGAAGCACATCATTAAAAATCTTCCACTTTGTTGAATATTCATACATATATATATATGCCATACATTACTTGTATTGGTAATATTCAGAGAAAAGACTTGAGAAATGGTTTGCATGTGACAGTAATTTCCAATTTTCAAATATTCCTTTAATTTTAACACTCCATCTAATCGACTTATCATTTATAAATTATTCCAGAATATGGACAGCAAAAAAGTCATTCAAAGAAACAAAGCAATACCTTACCAATCAACGGCAATGAAGCTTCAATGAATTTAAATCCACTTATTTTAACAAATATTCAAAGTTCTAGTTATTTCAAAGTTACATTGTTCAAACTTAAAACTTACCACGAAGTGATTGACGAAATTTATTATCAAGTAAAGCATCTGGAGCCTTGGGAGCGTGGTAGCCGAAAAACATCAGGCCAGACTGGCATGTGCGGAGGGGTAGGTTTGTGTTTGTGTTTGATAATTTTTTGCGTACTTAATATAATACTCGTAGCATGACACTATTTTATTCATATAAATATTTACTGAACATTTATTTATTATCAAGGTCAGAGGTGTTGGAGCTGGAGGCATTGTTAGCACATGTTTTTGTTTGTTGTACAAATTATACACGCTGCGTTTGACCCGAAAACAAGTCAACGGATTGATGTCACATGCAGATTCACCGTAATTTGAATATTCAGAATTTCTTTATTTTATATCCATAACTCATCTTATGGATTTTTTTTGTTTCAGCTACATCAGGGCGTTGGGATTCATGTATGTACGATATACACAACCACCTGGTGATTTATTCGATTGGTACGAAGACTACTTGCAAGATGAAGAAGAAATTGATGTCAAAGCCGGCGCGGGACAGGTAGGTCCATTATCGCATCACTTGTTTCTGGGTTTATCATCATATTATTTATCTCCATCAAACAGATGATGACAATTGGACAAATGCTGTATCAGTGGCTTACAAAATTGGAATGGTTTAGTACGTTATTTCCTCGCATTCCAGTACCGATTCAGAAACAAATTGAAACCAAAATCAATAACTATTGTCGAGAGCATAATATGAGCTTTGCAAATCAAAATACAAGTCATAATGCTGCCCAAAATGAATCTGATAAACGTAGTCATGACCGGCGCGAGCGAAGCTTACACGAGCGAAAACACCACGGTGGACGAGAACGAAGCAAAGAACGACAATACAATCGAAGTGATGAAAGACACGACGCAAGACGTGCATATCGATCAAGGTCCAAAGACCGGGAAAGAGAGCGCGACCGAGATAGAAGACGAGATTATAAACATAGTAAACATAGTAGTAGTACGAGCAGAGACTATGAAAGTCGACGCAGAAGCCGAAGCATAGATCGTGAAACCTATGAACGGACCCGTTTATTTATGCGGAAGAAATGAGAAATGGAGTTCGGAAACAAGCATTGAATTAATCCGATTCAAAAGAAATCATTAATGAATCGACCAAACTAATTTGGTAAATTTCGTTAAATAAGCTGGCAATAGTTTATATCAGAATATCGAAAAGTGTCTTATTCACGTATTACTACATTTTAACCTCATCGATTTTTCCAACGAATTTGTTTGTTTCAAATATTTCCCATGGTGTTTTTCAAACAAATAGATCAAGAAACATTTTTGTTTGTTGTTTCCAACTACCTCAACCACACAAATGTTGTGATGAATTAACTTAATTTTCAACCACTAAAATAGAAGAAACCGAAAAGAATAAAGTTTTATGAATTCTAAACACGTTTTTATTAATCTTCTAAAATTCGGCAATTACATCAAAGTTATCAATCAACACTTTCATTATGAAACAATTGGCTGAAAAAAAAATGGCACTCTGCATATTTATGAAATCAAATGTATTCCATCCTTTGAATTCTAATAGATAAGCGGAAATAAGCCACATTGCTTGCACCGAACACCAAAGGGCACAGTATGAAAGTGCCCGATTAATTTTCAATGATCTCAGATTTTTTAAACAAATCGGCAAAATTGATAAATACCACAAGAAATATTGACTTGTACAGACCTGAAATGAAATCGAAATAAATACAAAATATGAAAATGAAAATTGCTTCATCTATTTAGTTGAGGAGAATTTGATTTCTTTATCTAAATTTTACTTACTGGATTGAAAGTCACCATTAGAAATGCATGCAGAAAAATGCAAAATCCAAGTGTGATACGGTGAATTCCATAGTAGGCATTTATTACGAGCAAAATTAAGAGCTGTGGTAAAAATGTGAATATTTTTTCAATCAACATGGGTTTGCTGTTCAACAGATACATGTAGAAATAGAGGGAAAAATTGTGACGAGTATCTTTCCGCACCAAATGATATAAATAGGACTCGAATAGGAATTCATAGCCGTATTTGTGATAAAAATAAAGCGTGAGGCCCATCAATGTCGATAATGTTGAGAAAATCAACAAAATTTGTTTTCGATTGAATTGAAAGATGACGGTAAATAACGATTTCGGATGTGGATTTGGTTTCATAGTTTCCTCTCCAAGGTAAAGATAGTATGCCAGACTAAATGCAAGTGGATACAATCGAAAGTGAATGGATAATCCATGACAGGCACCAGCCAATAGTACATATGTCAAACCGTATGCTTTGGATTGTCCGATACTTCGTTGTAATAGAAAAATAGTAAGCAAAATGAACAGACTGGTAATTGAATCAGCATTACCTCGAGTCGAAATTGTAATCGCGATTGGATTGTATAGCCACAAAATCGATGCCCATGTTGCTCGTTTCTCATATCTTGGTGTTGGACGATAAAGCATATATGGCAACGAATTTAATAACCGTTTGGTTCTTTTTAACAGCAAATGCTCATCGAGAATAATTTGCCTAATAACGATTCCAATTAAAATGTCAAAGATAGAAAAGAGAAGTTTTCCATATGAGACATGAAATAGAATATTGCCGGTCAGCAGATAAGCTAAGAGTGGTGTATATCGATAAGTGTGACGTTTATATGGTGATTCCCCGTACAAGATGTGTCGAGAACTATCTGTAACAACTTTATAATCAATGTCTGTGAACGCCACTTCTGCATAATAATCCTGAAATTCACCGTATACAACAAATGCCACCCGCAAAAGGAAACTTAGCACTAAATGCTGTTTGAATGTTATGTCTCGAATTCTATAATATGTAATCAGAAGGAATTTGTTAGTGGTTTTCTTTATGGTTCTCATGATTCCTTTTTTTAGATTTTCATCAATAAATTTCTTTAATTATTGTATACTACTGTATTTGGTTTTAGTTTTTCACTTATTGTGTTTTGCAACTTCATTTAGGCACTTTTTGAAGTCTAAAAATTCTTTTTCACAAATGTTTTGCTTCACATTCAAGTCTCTGGTAACACAAGCTGCATATACTGATGCTGATGTTGCGCATTTGGTCATCAAGATGGGATAGTTTTGCAGTCGTTGACGCGCTCGTTTTATATTTTCCATTTCTTCAAAATTGCTTCACGGCGGTGTTCTATTCTGTCCCTTTTTTGGTAAAAGTATGCTAAATTATATCCTCCACTTCTTTAAAATTGCTTCCCGTGGAGTTTGTTCTTTAGGTATTTCATGGATCTCTGGCTCTCGAATGAATGCGTCGTATAGGGGTCGGGAGAAAAATACAAGCAGACCAGCAATTGTACTAGCCTAGAAGAACACAAAATTACTTTCCCACTCTTACCCAAATTTTACTCTTAGAGCTTACCCAAATTGTTGTTAATGGATATCGCTTAGCAAATGAACGTTTTGGAATAATATAAGTTTGTCTACGAGTTCGAGTAGCCTGTGTTCTCGTATTTTGTCCATCCATCTAGTTACCTGTGCGGTAAAAAATGAAAAACATGTTGAGATTGAAATATATTTATGGGAAATTGAATTTAAATAGAACATAATCCTCTCGGAATATGAAAAAAAATACTTTTTGTATTGACTGTATTTGTAGATTTTGAAGTATTTCTTTTCGGCTCGATATCTATGCCTTCGCAGCAAATGGACTGTCCTTTATATTGTCGGCAGCATTCACGCATCAGCTCTAACACTTCTACACAAGCTGATTCCTGGTAGTTGTTCTCTATTTTGTTGATTGAGTTTGAAAATTAAAGAAAATCTTTTTTTCTTCTATTTTATTTTGCCATACCTTTTAGACACTTTTGTATTAAACATGCGTTTTTCTTGCATGGATCTTTCCTGGTGTTATTATACATGGGAGCATCGGCTAAATGTGAAAAGTTATGAAACTCTGCAAGAGGAACTGTCAAAGATGAAAATATCTGACATATGACAAGTTAACGTTTTACCTTATTAATGTTGTCGTAATAAGGTATGGAATATAAACAATTTCGAATGAATTTTGTTTTTTTTTCAGGAGTACAATTGTACGATTTCATTAATGAAAATAAAATTGTTCAGAATTGACCAGAAGTGAAATTATAAATAATTATTATTTAAAATTCAAAACCTACTGCCCCCTGGTTTATTTAAATGTAAACATATGTCACAGTATTGGCGCTAAATTTGACACTTGACAACTTAGTTTGGGTCTTTAAATCAGAGGTAGAACATATTACGGGAACGTCCATCGAAAAAACTTTTTTTTGGTAAGAGAAGTCGAATGAAATGAACGCAGAATATTCAGGAGACGAATTAGCAGATCTTCTACAAGATGCTGCTGACGAAGGTGAAATAACATTGAACGACACAACTGTACCGAAGATTCCAATCAACTCAGATATAGCAGCGGTCCGAGATGTGTACGATTCATCTGATGAAGAAGACTTACAGAATTTTTTCGAACGGAAATACAATGAATATGGACGCGACATCAATCACTTGTTGAAACGCAAAGATGCAGATCATGTGGACGCTGTAATCGGAAATGAAGTCAGTAAAAATTTGCGGCTATCTGACATAAAATTTGGATTAAGTGCATCACAAAAATCTGTGGATATGCCAGTGTCAGTCGCAACATGCAAAACGACCGCTGATCGTTCGGAAAATGTATACATCGATCCAATATTTGGATTACGATTGGTTCAACCGTTAATTTCAAGTACGGCACTGCGTGAACGTATGTTGGGCAGAACCAATGTTGAGATACGATCGCTTCAACATCATTTGCAGAACTCTGATTTATCCAAAGATTGGTGCATCAGCGGTGTCATTGTGAGCAAAGGACCCGTGCAAAAAAGTAATGCCGGGTCACATTACATTATCTGGAGGCTTAGCGATTTGAAAGGTGATATGAAAACGGTGTCTCTGTTTCTTTTCAAATCTGCATACAAGGAACTATGGAAAACTGGGCTAGGAATGATAGTAGCCGTGTTGAATCCATCCGTTTTTTCTCGCAAAGATAACAACGGAGAGAGTTCACTGTCCATTGACTCTGCTCAACGAGTTATGATATTGGGGCGTTCAAAAGATTACGGAATTTGCAAATCAAAAAAGAAAAACGGTGAACCATGTACAGCCGTTGTGAATTTGGGTATATGTGAGTTTTGTGTGTATCATGTTAAACAAGAATATGGGAAAATGTCTGGGCGATCAGAATTACAATCGTCAACTAGCGGAAGAGGCTTAAACTCCTTACGAAATAAGATTTTGGGCAAAAGTGAAGTTTTCTACGGTGGAAAATCATTTATGGCCGAACCATCCAAACCTAGCCAAAAACTCAAGGCAAAAGATCAACAGCGTTTAATGTCTCTGTCAAATACGTCTACAGCTTGTCCTCTTGGCGCTACAACTACTGGTAATCATGATTTATATATTCTGAACAATATCAGCCATCACTTTTATTTACATATATGCATATTGGTTTTCATAGGTAAAGTTAATTATTTATCAAGCAATTCGCCAGCAGCAAGCCGAGTTGCGGAAGGAATGGAAGCCAATTTTTCTCAGCGAAGGAAAGATTTAGCAAGGCTCAAATCCCTGGATGTTGATGTTTCGACGCTCAGTACAACGCAGCAGAACCAATCAACGATACTGAATGACAGCAAACCTTCGCTGCTCCCTAACATCAATATCCATAACACGGCCCCCACACTGAGCTCGTTCACAAGTTTTTCATTTACAATCGGAAAAAGCAGTTATGAATTGGCCAAAGCAAAAGCAATTGCGGTCCTGCGGAAAAATCCGATTGAAAAGTCAAATCCAAATTTCGTTAAATACAGGGGCACTGAAGCCGGTAAAAAACGAGCACACTGTGTCATAGAGACATCTGAGGTGGAACATCCAAAAAAGAAACAAAAACTGGCAGAAGAAGTCGAACAATTCAAAAACGAGCGTATCCAGAAGCTACTCCAAATTCGATCGTCGCACGTCGATCTTATTGAAGCACATGACACCAATGTGCAAAATAATTATTTCAATAAGTTAGAGAAAAAAGAAGCAATGGAAGAGAAAATGTTAAACACAACGAAAATGGATTGCAAAGCTGTCATTTGCGTGAACGTATGTTGGGCAGAACAAATGTTGAGATACAATTAAAATTAAAAAGATGAATTTATTGTTTTTTTCATTTCAGTGCAAATATAAGGCATTTTCCGCTGCACAGCGATGCAAAGAAGAAAATCACAAATTTAAAGTTGTAGATGTGGAAAAACGTTTCTTTGAATGTGAAGATTGTGGAAACCGAACCATTAGCCTGTTTCGTATTCCACGGGGAAGCTGTAATAACTGTCAGAGCTCTCGTTGGAAGCGTACTGGAATGATTCGCGACAAGAGTACACTCGAAACGCAACCACTGTCAATTCGTGGTGACGAGGAAACATTCATTGGAAGCCTACAAACGAATGGAAATATCAATTTATGCGTTGCGGCAGACGAATGAAGTTTCAAATTTCATTTATTTTTGATAAATAAAATTTTGATTTATTTCACAAATTGAAAGATCTTTTAATGTTTTTTTTTACTTTCATTTAACTCCATATACAATTATAGTTTTTCAAATATGAGGGCCTGAGAGTGAAAGTGACCAACAAAAAGTTGAGCTCCATACAAACACATGCTACCGTCACGCTGTTTTGTATTTAGTTAGGTCGCTTTTACGCTCAACTTTTTGTTGGTCACTTTCACTCTCAGGCCCTCATATAACACTGTGCAACAAATTTCAACTTTTGCGTGCACACCTTGACACTTTGAATGCTCGAAGATAAAGGGCCAAAACTAAAACAAAACTGCATTATTAGTTTGTTCGGGTGACGCCTAAATAAGAAAGTTATCGAAGTTGAGTATTATTGGATTTTTCGAAAATTGACCTTTTCATTTTTTATTCAATAGCTCGGCCAATATTGATTTTAGTACCTTAATTAAGTCTTCGCCAAAATTGTAGCTAAGAATCCAAATAACAAATTTTATGAACAAATTATACGAAGAAAATGGCATCTAAGTGAGTTGTGTGTCGAAATGTCGAAAAAAAGGAAAATTGAGAGGATTTAGTACTTTTTAGTACTTTTTAGTACTTTTAGTACTTTGTCTGCAAAGCCCTTGAGAAGTACTAAAAAGTTGCTTCAGAAACTATTGCTCTATTTCGAGTAGTTGAGAAGTTATAGAACTCCGAAAATGCTCGATGATATCGTTTGGTAGCTACAAGTGACTTTGAGCCAAAAAAGTTGGCTAAATGTGATTTTTTGGGTTAATATTTTCAGAAGAGTTGTTCAATTAAACACTGGCTACAATAATGCTGAAAATAGAAAACAAAAAAATGGATATTTCACGAGTTATGGTCGAAAAAATGAGAAAAACTAGAAACTTTTTTTCGACATTTCGACCCACAACTCACTTAGATGCCATTTTCTTCGTATAATTTGTTCAAAAATTTGTTATTTGGATTCTTAGCTACAATTTTGGTGAAGACAGTAAGGTACTAAAATCAATATTGGCCGAGCTATTGAATAAAAAATGAAAAGGTCAATTTTCGAAAAATCCAATAATACTCAAAATTCGCCAACTTCGATAACTTTCTTATTTAGGCGTCACCCGAACAAACTAATAATGCAGTTTTGTTTGGGTTTTGGCCCTTCATCATCGAGCATTCAAAGTGTCCAGGTGTGCAGAGATGTGTTGCACGGTGTAATGAATTCATTACAGTTTATTCAAAAATATTTCAATTGGGATAGTTTCGTTCCCGACACGAATAGTGAACAATAGTTCCATTTGGATGGCGCACAAATGCAGACTGATTCATGAATTTTTTCGAACATGCTGGGCACACACTGAATTCCGATACCAAAATACTTCTCGCTTCCACATTCATGCGTTGTTCTTGCAATTGTATGTTAGAAGCGTATAGCAATCCCTTCAGTAATTGATTATTGCGTCTGCGCTCAAGTGAATGATGCAAAGCTGTTTCCAAAAATGGTCTTAAACGAACGATTGGAATGTCGTTTGGAAGAATTTGAAGGACGCGAAATGGATTCAACTTGATAGCATGATGCTCAAGTAGCTCCAGTACAGCTTCCACATTAGGCTGCAAACAACTTGAGTGTAATTCAACTCCCGTGTATGGTGGCATTGTGGGTGGTTTTAGAAGAATTTCAATTAACTGTATGAAAATATTTTTCGCAGCATCTGGATCTGATGATTCATATACGTCCTCACAATAAGCAATTGCTTTCGGAACATCATTAAGTATTTGGATATAAATCGCAAGGACTTTTTCATGACGCTTCAACTTTCCGAGAATGATTGCTCGCTCCACGAATAAATCGTTTTCTGGAAAATTTTTGAGTACGGTTTCGGCATGTAAATAATTGTATTTATTCAGGAAATTAACCAACTTATCACGTATATTCTGACTGGCGAATTCCTTTTGCCTATCAAAGAGAAGTTTTTGTTAATTTTCAAACAAACGAAAAACATGCACATCGCATAATAAATCTTAATACTTACTTTATGTCACCACCGTTGGTACTATTTTTTATATCAGCATAAGCTTCGCGATACTGTTGAATTAAAATATTGTGGAATAGGGCCTTTTTTTCATTCCACACAAAAATTATATGTTCCAAATATGGCGTTACAAGGCTTTTATGGTTTTTCAACAAATAATCGAGCACCTCTGCGCGATGTAAATTTTCAATTTCGGGTACATCCTCTGTAAATATTCGAAGGCCATCTTCTGGACTTTTTTCTATAACATAGCCGGCAAATTCGAATATCAAATGTCTATGTTCATTGCCCAAATGTTGAAGGTATTGAATGGTGCGTTCGTGCCCAAATAGACTTGAACTCGGAATTTCAGCTTGAGATTGCAGCAGCTGTAATGCTTTCTTATGATGACCCTTCGTTTGGTACAAAATGATGAGTTCGCCAAACTTTTTGAAAGTCAGCAAACTTCTCTCCGTCTCATCCAAGTGGCAATGGTTCATACGAATTACCGACGCTACCAACGAGTCATTCGTCTGAATAATCCGAAATTCGGGTAACATAACATTACATTAGAATTAATTCTGAAAATGTCAAAGATTGGCGAAGAAAAAACAGAAAACTATATTACCTGCAGGTAACATTTTAATAATGTGGTATCGATGATGGACAGCAGATAGTTTGAATTTTTACTGTGGGTCTTTTTTTCTGTATTCTGCATTTTCCGGAGCATATTGAAACGAACCTCAGTTAGATATTCTATCAATGCGAGTAAAGCCATTTCAAGATCTTTACCATTTAAAACCGGTAGATTCGATTTTGCCAATGCAGACTGATTTAGCTTCGTTGCAACAGAGTCTTTGGGAAACAAATTGGGAAAAAGCCTAATGACGTCGCATGGATCTGTTTCCAATTTTATAAATTCTCTCATCGATTCTTTGAAGATTTTATTTGCGAATAAGTCAATTGCATATCGAGTTTGTATACGGTTTTTTTCAATCATTTTTCCTTCCAAATCAGATATTTCCTGTATAAAAAGAAATATTCATAATTTCATAAAATCATTTCGGAACGATGTTTAACCTAGTTAGAAACATTCATGTAACGCAATTTAGTCATTTTTAACGTTAAAATATGTAACATTTTTAGGCTTTTTTTCCGTCAAAATCGACTGAAATTTCAGTGTAAACCAACTGTATGAATATTCGGAACGCTACCCAGCTTCTGTAAAATTCAAACGTTTGAAATGACATCCATTCCAACTACTACTCTGTGTCAACCGAATTGTAAACAAACATCTTACAAGAATTTCGATTGGTGTCGCACGA